GCGTTGTCTGCACTTAATTCCATCCACCCGCCTTGAGGCTCTTCTCCCTTCCCTCCCCTCCCCAAAAACCTCAATGTCCAAAAACCCAAGCAGGCAGCACAGCCTGGGCCTGAGCCAGGCCTTCGCACGTGAAGCTCAGGCGCGTGGTGAGTATTTCACAGCTGTGCTGCAGACCCCCCGAAATGAAGGCTCTGCAGGGGAAGGCTGACAGCGCATGGAGCGGAGCCGGGTGCTCCCGCTGGCGCTGTGCGCCTCGTGTGCCGAGCGCGGAGCCGCCGCGCAACGCGGAGCCGCCGCGCAACGCGGAGCCGCCGCTTTTCTGCGGCGGTAACAGGAGATCAGAGAGCGTGTGCAGGCAGCAGATGAGAGCCCGCAAGGCATGCGCGGCTCCCCGGGGCTGAACGTGCCTGTGCTGCAGCGGGGCTCCGAGCGAGATGTACAAACAGGGCCAGCTGTGAAATTTGGCACTTGGTATCAGGTTTCACTTATGTAAGAAATAGCTGCCTGGTTCTTAAATGCTCACGCTGTGCAGCTACAGTGCATGCTCAGGATGCGGCTCCGGCCTCGCCGCCTGGAAGCGCCCGGCAGTGCTGCGCATCTTGGGAGCAGAATCCCGGGAATCGGGCATGGAAATGCCACTGCTCTGGTGAATCTTGGGCTGGCTTCGGAGCTGCGTGTCTGCGCATTGCCAGCGCCGGAGCGTGTTGGGGTCTCTCTTGGGTCTAGCCCTAAGAGCGCCTTTTCCTGAGGCTGAAGCGCAGATGATTACGTGGCTGCTGCTCAGACAAGGTGGTAGCTGCTGGTTTGGCCGCTGTGGTGGGCTCGGGAGGCCTTGCGCAGGGCTCCCTGTGCAATCCCCCCGAAGCCCGTGGGATTTCTGGAGCGGCTGCTTTCTCAGGGCCGCGTGCCTCGGCACACACCTGGCTCAGGTGCCCACGCGCGGGCCGCGGCAGGGTGGGGGCACCCGGATGATAGAGACTTTCTGATGGATATCTCGTCTCTCCGTACTGGCTTGATGATGTCTGTTAATTAAATGGGTTCAGATGGTAACTGTGTTATACCCTGGCCCACGGGAGGGCTTTTAAAATAGCTCCTGTTTCCACGTGGACACTGGCTGGAGGAGCCCTTCTTTCTGCTTTGGGGCAGAGCTGCTGTGCTACAAGGCCTCCTTTGGAGGATGCTGCTGTTAGCAAATAAATGCTCACATAGCAGAAACAAAAAAACAAAGCAACATGCAAAGGGAAGGGAGGGAGCTGAAATCAACCTGATGATTCAAGAAGAGCAGGATTCCTTTCTCTGTAGGAGAGCAGGGAAGATAAAACCGGGCATCAGTTTCGATGTACAAAGCAGCTGGAACTGTTAACCACGACTTCGTTGAGCTGGGTGAGCATTGGCTTCCTGTTTGTGGACAGGTGGATAAGTGTAAGGAATTAATAGGAAAAAGAATGGAGAGATAAGCAGAAAACTATATTATTTTGCAGCATATGCAGCTGTGATGCCACATCTTTAAAGCAATGTGTCGTCCTGGTATTTCTCCTTTTTCATCTCAGAAAGGATAGAGCAGACACAGGAAGAGGTTCACCAAGTAGCATCAGGGCTGATCCAAGATGAGGAATGTGAAATATCAGTTTGATACTGTCCTTCCTGAGACTTCTCACTTATGGCTGTGGCTGGGAGCAGGATCCGGGTGCCTGCTCCAGGCTGGCTGGTCTCGCAGAGCCCGGTGTGGCCGTGGCCACTCAGCGCGCACAGTTTTCCTTGGTGCAGCGCCGTGCCTCTTGCTCTCCGTGTTTGGGCATTCAGACCGGCAGCCCTGTGCACTGCTAGCACTTTGCCTTCCTGGGAGGTTGTTGTGCACACCAGTATTGCAAGTATCCACTGCATTTCTGTGCTTAAATCAGTTGTATTTAAGCTGGTTTCTAAAGAAGAGCTGCTGCATGTGCAAGGCCCCCGTGTTGCCCGCTGTCCCTGGTGCAGACAGGTCCAGAGGGAGGCAAACCAGGGGCAGGAGGAGAGTGTTTGCAGGGAGGAGGAGAGCAGGATAGGGGATGTTGAGATGGACCCTGAAGGGTTTCTGTGCTGTCCTGTTCGTGGCACGTGGAAACCATCGCTTGTGGTTCGTCTTTCAGCCGCCCCTAAATAGCAGAGAACTCCAACAGGCAAAAAGCCGCCTCTCTGAGCGGGGAGCAGCTGCTCGCACGCCTCGCTGCCTGAAAGGGCACATGGAGTTGGCAGGGGGCTCTCCGGGGCAGCCTTTCCGCGGGGATTAGCTGTTCTGCGGCGCGGGCAGGCGGCCGCTGCTCCGTGCAGGTGCGGGACGGGACGGCATCGCCGCTGCCCCCGGGGCCTCCTTCCAGAGAGCTGCTGCTGTCTCTGGGCACAGGGGGCTGTGGGCAGCCCTGCCCCTCGCGGTGCTGGCAGGGTGACGCCGATGCTTGTAGCCCTTTTCTAATGATTTCCAGAAGATGCTCGCAGTGTAGCAAGAAGATGGGGCTACTCGTGGTGTGCTGACCACCATGGGAAAGAGGTAGACTCTCTGCTCCCGGTATAAGCATGAGTACTGTCTTATGGCAGAGTGGTGCAGGCCCTTGGCGGAGCATGGGATTAGTGTGGGACAAGCATGGGCCGAGCGTGCCCTGGTGCTGAGGGTGGCTGGCAGTGCCCTTGCCAATGAGTTGGTGCCCCTGTTCAGTTTTCCTCCCTCTTAAAAGCTCCTCGATCGGGGGACCTTCCCACAAGGCTGAGGAGAGGATGGATTTAGGAGGCCCAGCGGGGCTGCTCTAGTTGCCAGTGAAAGAGGCAGGTTTTTGTTTGCCCTGGCTCGGTGCTTCCTGCGCCTTCCTGGGCTGTTCCCCAGCCTAGTGAGCAGGGAACAGAAGTCTACAAATGGTTTTCTGCTTTACGTGGAGATAGCTGCTGTGGCAGGGCCGGTGCAAGGGGACCAGCGGCCATGTCCCCGGGATGGGAGGGAGCCATCCCGTTCGGAGCTCCGTCCTTGCAGGGGAATCCTCGGTGCGGTGCAGGCCGGGCCGGCTGAACGGCCGCCGAGCGCTGCCCGCGGCACGGCCGGGCCGACAGGACTGCAGAACTGGCTCCCTACCCGGGTGGGAGCCCTCGGCGGCTCCCGTGTCTCCTGCTTCCCCTGCGCTGCGGGGAGCATCCCTTCTGCAGGGCTCTAACCTCCTTTAGCTTGGTTTGGGAACTGTGCTCTGCGGTTTGAGCTCTGCAGGGCAAGCACTGGGCTCTTCTTTATCCCTGTGTGTGGATATAAATGTGTCCTGAAACTTTGCAACCAACACGGGAGAATTGGTACCTTGTAGTCTCCCCTCTCTCTGCCACTCTCTGTGTTGTGGCCTTTTTGTTTGTTTTTAGGAATACTGAGTTGAAACAAAGCCGTTTCCTCGCTTTGCTGGTGGATTTGTAGATGCATTTTTAATAGCACGTTCTTACAGTAAAGAAAAATCCAGAGGAAGTTTTATAAATACCCATATTTCTGGAGAGATATTCATTTTGCAAAGGAAGGCCACAATTTTCTGTTCTCTCTCATGGTCTCAAAACATCCGGTCATTTTACTGCAGGAGAAACAAAGAGTAAGGGGCTGAGTTGCCCAGAGGTTGGGGTGTGACATCTTTTCCTTGCCGTGCCAGTGATCTGCAGCCAGCCTGGGCTGGCGATGGGGAAGCTCAGCCAGCCCTGCCACTGCGAGTGGGTGCAGCCCGAGCCCTGTCAATGTGAGGTGACTCTGTGTGTGGTGTCACCTCTGTCACCTTCTCCAGGAACCCCAGCTGTGAGCCCACGGACACCTCGGTTTTCTTCCACCCTGTGTTGGTTTCTTGAGGGCCGGTATAAGCTGCCCTGTCCAGGTCACCATGCGCTGTTTTGATATAAGATGTTGCTCTTCAGGGCAGATAATAATAATGATAGTAGTCATTATAATAATAACTACTTGTGCCGTGTCCATGTTGTCAGGCCCTAACTAAGTATAACTTAGATGATGGTAATTAAACCCGGAAGATTGTGACCCAGTAAAATCCATGAATTTGGCAGGAACGCAAATACTGAGGAGGAATGAATGCATAAAATATACAGTAAATAAAATCAAGCTGTGGGAAGAATAAAGAGAATAAATTTGTGTCAGGCAGAACAACCCCAGGGCTGAGAACAGAGTTATTGGGGGTCAAGTCCTCTCATGCCGTGGACTGGATTTGGTGCAGTGTAATCCCACAGCAACCTCCTGCCCCGGGGAAATTGCTGAATTCTCATGCTTGTCTGCCTGACAAAATGTCCTCTCCTGCCACCCCCCCATCAACTTCTCCCAGCCTCTTGCTGGCCTGAATGAGTTTCTGTGTCTTCCGAACAGCCTTTCACAACTCTGCCTTCTTTCCTGAAATATGTGAGGTCTTTGCTCGGGGGGAGAAAACAAGGATATTTTGAGTTCCCATCTCTTCAATGGGCTGTTGGTGTGTGGGCTTGTGCACCTGGTTAGGTGACTGCTTCCTCTCCTGGCATCCCCGGGAGGGCTGCACTCTGCTGGATGTGGCTCCCAGCTCAAGAACTCCAGGGGAAAAAAATTGCCATTCAGTTTCTAGGAGTGTGGGATGGAGACCAGACTGGACCATCTACCACAGGAGGGCAAAGGTAGAGACCGGGTCAGTCTGCAAAGACTTCCAGAGAAGCCCTCTGGAGGAAAGGATATGCTGGGACGTGGGAATCGCGGGGCAGGGAATGGGCACCCCTGCTTCTCACCCAGGGCTCGCTCTTCCCAGCGATTTTCCCCCTTGGCAGGGCTTGGCAGCTCCCATAGGCAAAGGCATGAGGCGGCACCACCTCCTTGCTCTGCCTCAGCAGGGTGATGATAACAGCGAGGAGCGTCGCTCCTGTTGCTGGCTGCTTGGAGGTGATGACTGCGAGCCCTGGCTCCTCGCAGAGCCGTCGGCGTCCATGTGTGGGCCCCTCTGGATAGCGCTCGGGTCTCACAATACTTCCTATTTTCTTTTTAGGTGACCTTGGAAAAAGTGCTGGGGATAACCGTGTCAGGAGGCAGAGGATTAGCCTGCGACCCCAGAACTGGCCTTGTTGCTTATCCAGCAGGGTAAGTCACTAATTTCAAAGCTAAGATAAACCAAGACTGATGCATCAACATAAAGATTCAGAGTGTTTTCAGTGTGGCCTGTGATAGCGAGGCTGTTTACCTTTCCTTAGTCCCTTAGCATGGGAGAATGATGAGACTCAGCAATGTTAATTTAATTGGCCTGGAGAAGAGGTTGCCTTTTACCTGTCAGGTTTTAATCAAATCCCTCTCAGTTCTCCCTTCTCTTGGTCTAAGCTAGGTGTTAAATACATTCTGGCCTTTTAAACAGGCTAATGACACTTAGGGATTCTGTGTTTGTTGCTGAAATAAGAGGTGCGGTTGGTAAAGCTGCCTAGAAGTGTTTTGCCCTTCCCTAGTTCTAAAAACCCAGGTAAGTCTCCTGCTAGCCATGAGCACTTTAATCTGAGCTCTGTGAGTAGAAGTGCACTTTGCACAGCAGCTACGAACCGGTCATTACGATTATGATGTCTGAGCCAGAAAGCAAACAGGGTAGAGATGCAGTCTCAGCTGGGTAAGATTCATCTGATGAAGGAAGCCTTAAGGCTGCGATCACTACAGGCTGCTTGGGCTGTCCTGTTGCCTTCTGTTGCCTTCTGCCCAGTTCGTGCCCTTTCTTGCAAGGAACCCCGGGGAGCCAGGAAGGTTTCTGGGCTTCAGGAGCTCTGGTGTGCTACCATGTGGAGCTATAGCAGTGTTTGGGTCAACATTAAAGGAAAAGAACTTTCACAGGGACTTCACCTGTCCTTCTGAGAACACCCTGAAGGAGATTGTCACTGAGCAGACCTCAGTTTGCCTGCCCTCTCATAGGCTTTCAGCAGTGTGTTGGGATGGGCTTGTCCAGCTGAGTCTTGCCAGGCTTTTCTCTTCATTACTGTTTAGTTTTTTTAAGTTAAATTGAAGACAGTTTGATATCTGCATCTGTACTTGACCACATCCTTTGTGCTTGAACTCTTTGGAGGCAGGCAAATGTATTTCCACGTGTGCTGCCTTTTCCTCTGCATCTCTTCTGGCAGCATATTTGCACTTGAAGAGGGCAAGGAGAGAAAGAAGAAAGCAAGAGCAATAAGCTGAGGTGCTTTGGGCTCTTGAACAACTAAAGATAAAATAGCCTAATTAATAGCAATCTCATCTGATGAGCCTGTGTGCACCAAACATCAATGTAATCAAGCAAGAGGACACCTGGGCATTCTTTGGGGTAATTACAAGGTTATGTAGGCCCTTAGGGCTGTGCAGAGGATTTCTTGTTCTTGCTTGTTGGTAGCACCACAGGGTCTGGCCTGGAACATGCCAGATGTGTGTTGACCAACTTAATGTTTCATCTGACTCGCTGGTTTTGTGCCACAGGTCGTCTGCTTTGTGATGCTGATATGATTTGTTGAGGTAATTTGTTGCAGTCAAGTCAATCTCTTTGTGTCTGTTTGACCTAGCATTTGTTAGGAAGTCAGAGAAGGGGACTGGTGCTCATCTTATTAAACTGCAAGTTCATTTGTTTTGATGTTTCCTTTTTTTGCTTTTTTTCCCCTTGGTTCCTTCCAGTGAATTTCTCATCTGTGTGATTTGCAAGAATAGCAGTATTGCTGTTTCCTTGGCTTTGCTGATTTTATTGCTTATTTTTGTTCCTGTTTGTTTCAATTTACTGTACTCTGGCACCTCTTGAGTGCGGCTGCTGTAGGGGACGGAGCCTGACGCTGGCACCCTGGGCTCGTGCCCCCTGCCTGCATCGTGGTCCTTCGGGTGGCTTCCAGGGGCTCCAGGGAGCATTAGAGCTCAGGGGCTCTTCGAGCAGCATCTAATTCTGGCTTCTGGTTTGCTTGAATTATTATTACTGTCTTGCAATACCATTGCTTTTCTGGGTTTTCTTCTTTGTGGTGTCTCTGAGTCTCCTGAAAGAAGCTGTTCTCAGTGCAGCCCACACTGACAAGAGAAATAAACCCCAAATTCCTTAAGTTGGTGTCTGTCAGGGTGGTTTATCATGCAGAGTATAGCAGAGCGGGCTTTGTGGGGAAAGGGGGAGGGGCTTTTTTGGCCTCTTGTGGCAGGCCTGATGCTCTGTCCCTGATTTGTTTCCCCTTGTTTTTCTCTGCCTCTCTTTCCTCTTGGTTTCTTCTTTTTTTTTTTTTTTTTTTTTTTTTTTTTTTCCTTCAGTAGCTGGTTGAGGTTCTGTCTCCTAGAAACAAGAAGAGCAACAAAGCTAAGAAAATCCTCTAAGGTTACTGATGGCTAGCATTAAATAAAAAATGTTTTGAGGGGGAAGAAGAAATGTGCCTATCCATTTAAATTCCAGAGCAGCTGCTCCGGTGACTGCAGTCGGCTCATTGGGGGTGTGCGTGCGTGCGGCTGTGGCTTCTGTTTTGCTTTTTGCATTAAGCCTCTAGGCCTGTGTGACCAACACAATCTTGGGTTGTTTCTCTTTCCTGCTTTGTCCTTGGCTCACAGCTGGTGCTGGTAGTTGGCCGAGAAGCTCCCCGGCTCGCGAGGTGCTTTGGGGAGCAGCCTGTCCCTTTTTCCTCAGTGGGAGAAGAAATTAATGCTTTGCACCCTTAACAGGCGGTGTGTTTTAAACTCTGTGCTGTTACATTCTGATGGGTTTAAGCCCCTCCAGCTCTGCTCATCAATCCCAGCTAATCTGAGGGAAGTCAGGAATTTTTCACATTAGTGCCCTTGCAGGGAAATTGATATTCAATAGATACCATTAGTGTTTGTGATGAGTTGCCTGGTCTGAAACATGCTATTCTTCCCCACCTCGCCCCATCTCTTTCCCTGCTCTCTCCAGCACAGCTTGTTACTCTTGCAGCTTCTGCTCAAGACAGATGAGGGTGAATCTTGGAGCCGGGCGCAGCGAGAGGAGCTTCCTCCAGATGCAGCCCCCGGCTTGCTCTGTGCCCAGGCTGGTGGTGGGCAACCCTCCGTATGCGGTACTGTTTCGGAACAAATTGCCAAAGGGGGTAAAGCAACAGAGTTATGTGACCAAACTTAAGATAAAGGAAATATTTAGTCTTTCCTCCAACTGCGTTTTTTGCCAAAAGATCTTGTCTAAGAGCTAGACCTGTTCTTGCTTCAGCTTTATTACCTTGAGCTTATCTGAGATAAGACTATTAGCATTTAGAAGCAAGTGTTGGTGCTGTGTGCTTAGAATGGGAAAGCTGCAGGGCTGCCTGGGTGCAATTTGGTTTTAGGAGTGCGTGCTGCACAGGCTGGAGCCCGGCGCGGCTCTGGAGCGGAGCTGGCCCCGTTGCCCCTTCTCCTTCCCTGCCTTCCCTTGGGCGGCGGATCCGCGGTGCCGCACGAGCCTCTCGACCCGAGTCAGCCCTCTGAGTCACCGCCTCCGTGGCTCCCTGGTGCAGGGAAGGAAGTGTGGGTCCCGCACGGAGCGCGCGGTGACAGCAGCCTGCGTCACAGCGGAGGGACGGAGCGAGGCGCGCGGCAGGAAATGAGTGAGTGGGTTTAATCCAGCCAGGAGTCTGCTCAGCACGTGTGGAGCTGTCGCGCATAATTGAGTGGTAAATCCTGCTGGAAGCTGGAAGGCTGAGGTTTTTTTTTTCCTTCCAGGAGTGATTATTGGTTTGCTCCCAAATACCTCTTTCCAGTTCCAATAGGCAGACTGTAAGGCTAAGCAGTTTCCAGCCATCCATATGTGGAGTGTCCTGGAATGTTTTAATCAGAATTTTCTATCATTATATAATTTATTACATTGAGTCAACTTAACAGCTTAGAATGACTTCCCTTTACCTTAAGCTGCATATAACTTACAATGGAAGAATAATATCATTAAGGATTAGTGTTGCATAACTTTGCCAGGCGTAACAGGCATGTTGCCTTGCTCCTTTTTTTTCTTTTTTCTTTTTTTCCCCCCCCTCTTTAAAGCGGAGGGATTTGGCCTGAATTGTAACAGCGATGGATTCAGTTGATGACTGCTGACAGTATAGGAAAATTCACCCTGTTCCCTTCTGACCTTGAATCCGTGGCTGTCAGAATTCCGACCATAACGATCAGGTTAGAACTAGTTGCTCAATGGGTAATAATCACTTGCCAGGCGCCAGCTTTTTGTGCCTTTCTTCATAGCATTTCTTTTAACTAATTAATCTCTTTTCTTAGGCACTGCAGTGGTGGTTGCCTTTAGAAAGTTCTGTGTCTATAGAAGACATCTTCACAAACCCTGTGTGTCCCTTGGTCCATGTGCAGTTTGTGCTAAGTTCTGTTGCTCTGGGTAGACACAGGCATCTTCACTCATTTTGCCCTAGGGTAAAGGGCAAAGGCGTCGGGCCCAATCCCAAATGCAGCTCGAGGGGTTGCAAGGACACTGCACACTGCTGAGGTGCCAGGACAGAGATATCCTGTTCTGCTGGTGCTGGCTCCTTCACTTCTCCTTTGCTCAGACTTATGAGGGAGCCTTTCTGAGCCATCTTTGTATGTTCCTTTCTGAAGGCAAATCACGTAGCCTTGTAAAGACCCTAAAACGAAGAGTTCTCATCTCCTGTTTGAAGTAAATTTCAGTATTTCTGGCTCCAGCAGAGACGGCTGCTCTGTCCTTTTAGAAATGGGACCATCTCCTTTCAAAGCTGGACCTCTTTCCCCTTCCCTGCCTCCCCGGAATCTGCAGTGCTGTTAATGCCTTCCTTGTGTGAGGAGACTGCTCGGACATACTATGTGGGGAGGCTTTCCAGCTGGCACAGCCGTGGTGGACCCGGAGAGGAAGATAAGAAAGTCCCCTTCATTTAGGCTGTTAAATACAATTTGCATTAGAGCTATGACTGTAGCTGGGCTGGGCCATTACAGCAGAGCAAGACTTTTTAATTTGTATTTATTTATTTTAATGAAAAGTGAACAACGTGAAATTGTGGTGCCCGGACAGTGGCCAAAAAGATGATGAAATGTGTCCAAACTCTCCCCTCCCTTTTCTTCCCCCAGGGTAGCAGATCTCTCAGAATGAAGTAGGGATGCTTTGTTTTTCCCTTATGTCTCCCTGTATTAGTTGCTGACTGGAGGGAAAGGAGCATCTC